AAAAAATAAATTTTAATTTTAATTTTAGTAATTAATTAAATTAATATACATGATATTGATGTTAAGGAGGTGTTTCAATTACCATTTTAAAAACAGTTATATTGTTAGTTTCAATTGAAAGGATTAAACATTTTAAATTATAAATAATAATGATTATTAATTATTAGATATCGTATATTATCTATCAATTTTATTTAAACTATTAATTTAAACACCCTTAAAATTGATATCAACTTTTTTGTTTTTTACATGAATTTAATGATTAAAAAATATGTTAAATCCAATGACACATTGGAAATTTTCTTTAAAAAATGGGGCCGTGCTCCGTTACAAACAGCTCTACACCTTAATTCCTTGGGTATGTCATCAGCTCCACAGTTCGTTATTAGGTTAATGCCTTCTTAAAGTCTGCAATATGAATATTTGAAATTTCAAATCAAAATGTTGATCGCCAATATTTCAAGATACAGATATATATGGGTGCGGCCGGTATTTTGGAGGATCAATTTCTTTCTTCTTGAAGTCTAGCCATATTGCTAACATAAACACAATGAGTCATTCCTTCCAATACCCATGCAGAATTTGTGTTATAAATAGATTTAAGTCTAAATGTTGATTGCCAATCTTTCAAGGTACAAACGTGACATTTGGGTTCCAATTGCCATATGCAAAACTTTTCGTGCATGAAATCCATTGGGTGCTACACGCTGGTGTTCGGAAATTTGATCTTCAGCAGGGAAATTGGAGGATTTATAATAGGCAAATGAAAATGGTTGGTGTAACCTATACATCAATAGAAATGTTTTGTCCAATTATATACGTAAGTTTTTCTACACTACAGGCAGTTTTCTTGTATATGGAGTTTTAATTTTCATTGGACAAATCATTGATGAACCTTAGTGGGATCAACAACGCAGAAATTAGGAACCCTTTTGACTGGCGTACAAGCACTCATATATACCACTACAGCAGACCAGCATTAACAAGAAGACCCTACAGGGACCAAATCAAGCAAAAACAAAAAGGCAAATCAATTAAAGAGTACATGGAAATTAGACTATATTCATTGTCAAGCATCATGAATTAGAGATGCACCGAAGTTTTTGATGCACAATAAAAACTTAGAAGTTTCTACTAATTTGAATGTGCCAAACAATAGAGTTGTGAAAAGTACTTTGTAAATTAAGCTATTTCCTATTGCATAATTCGTGCATATAAAAATGGTTTTCCATTATCCAAATTTATTTCAAGGGCTAATGAAATTAACCTCTTGTTTCCAAACTTGAGCAACAGCCAACAATGATATCTGATGTGTTTTTCCTTACATGGGATACATTAAGACATAAAGGGGCATATTGGGTATCTATCCAGATTCACATTTTAATAAGAAAAGCAAAAATAGAAAGAAAAAAAATACAGACATACTTCTTGAGGATTGACAAATGAGTAGAGGTTATAAAAGATAATACTTGAGAGTATATGCTGATCCACACTTGGTAATTTTGTAGCAGGAATTAACTGAATCCAAACCCTCACCCCACCAATCATTTTTTGGTATTTTGAGGCTAGAGCTTGACAATTTCAGGGATATGAACTGGGTACCTATCAACGCAATCTTCCCAAGGTCCATCTGTTGGTGTCTTGATGGTTCTGTTGCACTTCCATACTGCGCTGTTGCACTTAAATCCACTTCCAAATGCAATCTGCCACACCCTGTCTCCCTTCTTCATTCTCCCTTTTGCCTCAATGTAGCTCAGCTCATACCACAGGGACGAAGAGGATGTGTTTCCAAACCTGTGCAGGGTCATCCTGGATGCCTCGACGTGCTCTGCTGACAGCTGGAGGTTCTTTTGGAGTTCGTCAATGACTGCTCTGCCCCCGGCGTGGATACAGAAGTGCTCGAACGCCTGTTTGAAGTCGGGAATGTAAGGTTTCCATTTCGGATTGAAGATTTTCCTGCCAATGAGGGTCATGAGAAACAGGAGCTGTTCGGACGCGGGAAGAACCAGAGGCCCAATTGTTGTGATGTTGGATTTCAGAGCTTCCCCTGCTATTGCCATGAGATCTTTGGACAAAGAAATTCCCACTTTCCCTTCTCTGTCCTCTTCCTCAAACACGCAACGGTAGGCCTTGTCGTCAGCGCCTTTATGGGTTCGGACCACGTGGACTAGGCGGTACTTGGCACGCCTCCGCTCGGAGCGGCGGTTTGATAGGAGGATTGCCGCTCCGCCCATACGGAAGAGGCAGTTTGGAAGAAGCATGGCTCTTTCCTTTCCCTGGTAGTAATTCGGTGTGATGATTTCTGTGCTAACCACAACAGCATTCGAATTCGGATGAACCTGGAGAAGATCACGAGCTAAATCGATCGATATGAGCCCTGCACTGCATCCCATCCCTGAAAGATTGAAGCTTTTTATGTTACTTCTGAGCTTGTACTTGTTAATCACCATGGCGGACAAAGACGGCGTGGGAGAAAACAAACTGCAATTCACAATCAGGATATCGATGTCCCTCGGCTTCAGCCCTGTTTTCTTTAACAGAGCATCCATAGCAGAAAAAATAATAAGCTCTGCCTCTCCCCTTGCAGCCTCCATGGTGGGTTTCGGAGGGATGTAATGAATAGCGGGAGGAAGACAGGTCTCCTCACCGAGACCCGACCTTTCCAGAATCCTCATCTGAAACTCGACACTCTTTGGATTGTCCTTCAAGATGAGTCTAGAATGTTCCATGAAGGTAGAAAACGGAACCCGGCATGTCACTGGGGCTTTGTAACAGGTATAGTCAACAAGGTAGATACTTCTTGGCTTGGACATGAAGTAAACAGTGGCGACGAAGATGATGAGGAAAGAGGAGCAGAGGATTTGAACAAGATCGAAATGAAGGGATTTCCATAGATTGATGAGTTCATCCGGGCCTAAGCGAAGAAGTTCAATAACAATACCAACCATAACAGGGATCAAAAGAAGAGTAAGAATGTGATTCACTAGGTATTGGTAGCCAAGCTTGACATACTTGAGCTTAACGGAATTGGAGAAATCCGGAAGGATTGGAGGCATCTTTGCTCAAGATCGGGGCAGGAAAGAAAATGGAGAGAAAAGAAAGGAGAGAAAATGATTTCCTTTGTTGTGAGGGAGATAGAAGAGAGCTGGGGACATATTATGTGGAGGAGCAGAAGGGGAATTTAAAGGCAACGGGACCAAAGCAATGAAGGAGGCAGATGAGAGGATTAAATGAAGGACTCGCGTCACTCAACGCTCATTTAACTAGAAATTAATTTTCCGTAACTCCCCCTATTTTCCCTTTTTTTTTTTTTTAGATTAAATTTCTCCAAACATGGAATTATAATTATTAGTAGTCTTTTCGGTGTACCATCATGTGTAATTTCTTGGTAATTGAGTACTTCACATTTCTAATTTAATATAAGCGGTTTATATGATTTTGTTACTTCCAATAGTAGTCCATTATGAGTTTAGGACATAGGTGCATGTCTTGAACAATAATATTTGACCATTTACTTCGCGTATAATTTAATTAAAAATTATTATATAATTTAGATTATATTAAATTATATAATAAAAATTATTGAATGAGAAAAGATTTTTTTTATATTAAAAGCTCTTTTTATTTAATTATTTTTATTTTATAATTTAATACAATTTACACTATAAGATTTGAAATTCGTTTAATTAATTAATTAATTTCAGGTAAGATTAAAGGAGGAAAAAACTGGATAAAATAAAATAATTGGTAATTTATCTTCTTCTTCTTCTTCTGTTTTTTAGGTGGAAGGTAGTTTGTCTGCAGGTAGACATGGGATTGAGTTTACATCATAATGCATGGAAAAGATAATGACTCGTTATGAAAAAGCCAGCCTGGACTGGAGTCTGAAAGGTTTATTTTATTTCGTAAAAGGGGTTCATACAGTAAACACAGTAGAAATTAAACATTAAAGAAATCAGAAACAAATATTGTGGGTACGTGTTTTGACTTCCACAACTGAAAGTAGACAAAAATTTGGCGGATCCATAAATGTTCCAAAGAGATGAAAGAGAAGTCAAAACAGATAATCTTCTACTTCTAGAGGACAAGCGTCCGTGACGTGTGGATACATGGTCACCAAATTATTTTTGTTTAGATTACTAAAAGTCTGTTTAAAAAAATATTAATTTTATTTAATAAATATGTATTATTTAATAATTAATAATTAATAAAATAATAAATATGTATTATTTGATAAATTAAAATTAATTTATAAATTAATATTTTTAGATATCATAATTATCTATTTAAAACATTATAAATATTAATTAATTTTTGATAGCCTTAATAAGATAATTGGTGGTAAGGTACATGTGAGATTCTGTTGAGTTAATTGCTTTTTTTGCACGTTATATGCACAAATCATAATAATAATTTAAGGAAGAAGGGTCATATGTGATAATCGTACAAAGTTTAGGCTTTTCTCTTAATATAGACACTCAAGAAAATTAATGAGGATAAATTGTATAGTCATCAAGCTATATATGTTGATGCTCTAAAAAAGTGGCTTAATTGGTTAATAAGTAACTTAAAATTTTCAATTGGAGATATAATAGTTGAGTTTTAAATCTGATGGAAAAGGATTTTTTTTTTTAAAGAAAAGATTATCTCCTTTTAAATGGTTCATTAAACCTACTAAAAACTATGAGGCTATATAATGTTGACGCATGAAGAAATTAACTCGAGTAATTGTCCATAGGACTGCCCTTCTTTGATGTCCTCCACTAATTAGTAACCACCTTTGTTTCGCAGGGTAAGAGCCTGTTCGTAATTATTATGTGGGGGTTTTGACTGATAATAAGAAAAGTACTACCACCTTATTTGTTTTTAGTTGTTTAAATCCCTTAACTTTATATATAGTAAATAAATGTTAACTTAATTTTTTTTAATTTAAAGAAAAATACTTAACAAGAATTATTTATAAAAGATATTAATTATTTTCTATTTATTATATAAAATTATTTAGTTATATTTTATGTAAAAGTTAAATGATGAAAACTAAACCAAACTGAAGGAACTAACAATTTCAATAAAAAAAAAGCATTAGGACTAAAGATAATAAAGTGACCAATGAGTCCTTTTGGACTTGTATCAATATTTCAACTTTTTTCTTTTTGGTGTCAATATTTCGACTAATTGTATCAAAGACAACATAAAGGAATTTGAAATCTAAAAGGTTGCGTTACATATTAAACTTAAAATGATTTGTTTATTCTATGCCATAAGAAATAATTATTGATTAACAATTACTATTTTTTACTTTAAAAATAATGAAGTTACCTTTTATTTTAATTGTAGAAGGCAATTAGTTCATTAATAAAAGTTATTTTTTTAATTCAAAACTTCACATTTTTTTAAATTACTATAATTATTACTCAATCATTACTTCTCATCTTGTGTAGGCACAAGATAAATAAATCCAAATTAAAAACAATAATAATAATAATAATAATAAATGAGTTATTCTAATATGTATCCTTAGAATACAGATTAAGAAATATAATTAATGTATTTTTTATAATTAATTTGTATGAAAAAGATAAATATTGACTTTAAATTAATTAATTAATCAATTAAAATCATTCACATATTAATAATATTAAAATAAATATTAATTTTTATAATTTTTATGTAAATTAATTAAAAAATAAATATATTACATTTTTAACATATACTCTTAAAAGTAAATACTAGAAAAATCCATAATAAATAGCCGGTGCCTTCAGCATCGGACTCGATTGAGTAGTCGCCTTCCAGACTTAGGCCAATTAATTTTGAGAATTGATTTCTCTCCTACTTACATTTGGTAGGTCGTCGTCCTAACATATATTTTTTTTTACCTCTTAACAGGGACAATACCTAAGATTGTAGATTCGGCGCAAGAATATATTAAAAATTCTTTGTTACATTTATAAAGGAAATGCAATAGCCAATCTTAATTTTGCAGTTGATGAATGGATATTTTGACAGGGATTAAATTTATTGTTACGCGACCTGCCTATTTATGTATTGTATGGCCTCAATCTGGGTCCTCTGGGATGGTTGGGCGTTGGACGCTACACTTTTATTATTGTCCTTAATTTATGTTTCAGTTAAAAGTTTGAACTTTGAAGGAAGAAGATTCGTTTAGGTGAGTGGGGCGTAGATAATTATATGGCAAAAGTCTCAAATAAGGATACATACTTTTACTGATTATTCAATTAAGGACATTATCTTTTATTAGATGTCATCAAGGACACCATCTACACAGTTACAATGATGTTAAATAAGGACCTTTCTCCATTGTAACTTCTGAAATTGTCTTCCATGATAATTACAAAAATAATGGTACCGAAGATGAAGAGAACTAGACAAGAAAGAGAGGAAATGGGGAAACAAATGGGAATTATTGTTATTAGAAATTGTTGTCCATACTTTGAAGAAGAAAAAAAAAAAATCAAAGTCTTAAAACTTAGGTTGCAAAACAAATTAACGAAGCTGGCTGAAGAAACATAGGGTTAATTTAATTGTTTTACAAGTTGTTTTTTCTTCTTTT